TATATAGTCACACTCATAGTCTGGATTATACAAAGCGCACTAATTGTTATCCAGTTCTTTAGGAACACATGTCCCATGGGAGAGTAGCTTTTTATATAGAAACATTAAAATGGAGGCTTTATAGCCCTTTAATGCCTCTGTGTAATGAGAAGGAGTTACATTTCTCTGGCACTGTTTTTCTTTACAGTGGACCCTTGATTTACAGACGGTTTTCTCTGGCACTGTTTTTCTTTATCTACTTTGATTGTAGAAGGGTTTGTATATGTCTGTGGTCTGTCATACCTAGCAGGGGCAAATGAAATGCTGCAGACTTTTTGAGTTAGACTTCTCTGGCCACAAAATTTAGGTTTGACTTGCAGACTGAGATTTGATTTACAGACCAGAAAAAAACCAAAATGGAACAAAAACGGCCTGTTACGGGATTAATCGGTTTTCAATGCACTGTAGGTCAATGGAGACTTGATTTACAGACTTTTTGACTTGAGAACCGCCTTCCAATACGGATTAAGTTCTCAAGTCAAGACCCCACTGTATCTACTTTGATTGTAGAAGGGTTTGTGTGTGTCTGTGGTCTATCATACCTAGCAGGGGCAAATGAAATGCTGGGGAGGGAGGATATACAACAAGGGCAGGAAATAATGTGAACTTCCAGAGGTTATTGGATTCCAGTCTCCATCAAACCTGTTAATTTACGTTGTTTTCTAGCTCTGATGGTCATTGGAGGCCAACAGTCTCTGGAGAGCCTATGATGGAAAGGCATTCATTATATTGTGCAAAATAGTGGTTCAAACATTAATCAAGATTTCCCTGAACCATTAAAAACCACGGCAACAACCACCAGCAGAATTATCTCATGCATGCTCAGTTTCATCCTGAAGTTAGAATACTGCTTGAATTCTTAGCTTTTCCGAGAGAATCTTATAAGCAAAGAAAAAGCCATCATCCATTGTGCCAACTGGATCCAAATTTACTGAGCTCTGCTGAAATTATCTCATTCTCCAATATCCACTGGCAACAGAGAGAAGAGGAGCCTTTATGTTGCTTTTCAATCCAGCTGTGTCCTACTGTCCTAAATTTGTTACTTGCTTGCCTAAACAGATTACCTGCTGAACTTTGTAACCAAGAATATAGTGCCTACATTTGGATTCCTCCCTTCCCAAACATTTTTCCTTTTGTGGCATTTGTTTTAGCTTTCCGGCAGGGATCGTCTTATTTCTGATATCTGTGACTATGGGAGCCTTTTAGGGCAGAGATATGTCAGATATGTCAAATAAAACAGGTACAGTGGTGCCTCGCTTAACGGACGCTCCGTTTAGCGACGAAACCGCATAGCGATGAAGATTTTACAATGTGCTAAATGGGTTTTTTTGCTTTGTGATGATCCCTTCCCTGTTTCGCTTACTGATCATCGCAAAGTGATGATTTTTTTAACAGCTGATTGGCGGTTCCAAAATGGCCACTCCTTCCCTGTTACGCTTACTGATCATCGCAAAGCGATGATTTTTTAACACCTGATCGGCGGTTCCAAAATGGCCACCGGGTAAAAAAAATGGCCACCCGCTGTGTTTAGGGATGGATTCCTCGCTTAAGAGGCAGCGAAAATGGCTGCCATATGGAGGATCTTCGCTTTAAGGTCAGTTTTTTGCCCATAGGAACGCATTAAATAGGTTTTTATGCGTTTCTATGGGCTTTTTAAAATCGCATAGTGACGAAATCGCTTAGCAGCGATTTTTGCTGCACGGATTAACGTCGCTATGTGAGGCACCACTGTACATAAACAGCCAGAAAAACATGCGTGGTAAAGCTTACTGGAACAAATGTTTAGTGGTCAAGGAGACTATAAAAATGTTAATTGGCTCTTCATATTAGATAACCTATTAAATCAAATGTTAGAAATTTAAAAAATAAAGAGCTTTTTTTCCAAATCGGATATTAATAGCCTCTTCTTGAAAAATGGGAACTGTGGAATCTCTTTTGATATGGAAGGCGGCATAACTTCCAGTTCAGTGGTGCCTCGCATAACAAGCGCCCCGTAGAGCGATTAAATCGCTTAACAAGGGGCTCTGGGCCATCGCTGGAGCATTCGCTCAGAGATGGCCCCTATGGAGGTTTTTCGCATTGCGATATTTGCTAAGCGATTCGCTTAGCAAATATCGCATAACGAAGCGGGGGAGAACAGCTGATCGGCTGTTCCAAAATGGCCACCGGAAGGTCCCCGCCGCATTTTCGCACCCTGCCCTCGCTTACCGAGGGCGCGAAAATGGTGGCGCTATGGAAGAACTTTGCACAACGGTGAGTTTTCAAGCCATAGGAACGCATTGAACAAAGTTCAATGCGTTTCTATTTTGAAAAATGGGAACTGTGGAATCTCCTTTGATTTTGAAGGCGGCATAACTTCCAGTATTATACTTGCTTACTGAAGTGGTTTCAGTTTCAAGCTATTAGAAATATAGTAACCTGTATTCTTTTTTGTGCTTGAGCCAAATCACAATGCGAGGCACCACTGTATTATGCTTGCTTACTGAACTAGTTTCAGTTTCAAGCTATTAGCAATATAGTAACCTATATTCTTTTTTGTGCTTGAGCCAAATCACAGTATCCTTTTTAAAAATACTGTAAATGCAGATAGATCATGATAATACAATGACTAGCATGAGAGAAGAGAGCAAAAAATGTTATTCCATCTTGTGTCATGTGACTCAGTCATCCTGATTCGTATAATGAATATACAGTTGACCTGCTATACTGCATATTTGTTGCCTCCCTTTTCAGTTGCTGGGATAAAATTACTGCAGTGGTGCAATTTCAAAGCTGTACATTCTTTATGAATTGCAAGCTTCCATCAAGTTATTTAGGTTGGATAAAAATAAAATATTTTTTTAAAAAATCGAATTGATTTAAATCACTATTCAAATAAAAATAACAATTTTTAAAATTTAATTTGTCAAAAAAGCCCACACCAGATTAAAAAAAAATTAAATTATGATTTAAATCAATTTAATTTTCTTATTTAAATCAACTCCTCCCTGGAGATATTTAAGGGATACTCACTAGATCAAGAACAGGAAGGCCACTTTTGGTGTGATCTCTCTTGCAACTCCTAGTCTCCTTCCCCTCAAGTATGTTCTAGCAGATTGGAGATCTTGGGGAACACCTTTCAACAGCAAGGGAGGTGGCAGAAGGCACTTCTAGGGAAAAGGTTGTATGTCATCTCCCCTCACTCTTCATTTCTTTTCAATCAGATTCAAATCCCTAACTTTTGCAACCATTTGCTACTAACTCTCTGCAGGAATTTCTGCTCCTTGTGCAGTAATTTTAACACTGTTAAAAAGACACTTAACCACTGTGCTCTGTTATGCTAAATTCCAACCTGCATTGGCGCCCTGCTTTTCTTTTACCTGTCTTTAAAAGCAGTCACTTCCAGCAATATACCATAGGTTGTTTAGCCACTTACCGGTTTCTGATTTGTGAAATAAGTGTGCATTAGTTCTGAAAGACCCTGTGCACATGTACCTGAAGTCTCAATAGTGGAAATATTCGAAATCTGTCCTGTGTGTTTATCCTGTGTCTTGCACTCAAAGGCAACTTGTTCTGCTGATGTAAGAAGGAAGTAGTTGATACAATTCTTCTTCTGATGCCGGGCAGAGTGTACTTCTGCGCTTATACCTTGAGACCACATACCTGGGCCTCAATTGAAGGGAGCAAGGCACATATTTTCCCATACTTGAAGATCAGACCCAAGATAATACTGCTATATTGTATAGTCCCATTGTAGCCTAGATGCTGAGTGTTGTATAGCCTGTAAATGGTATACTGTACACCTCTTGAACCCCACTTTATATTCATTGCTAATCCCATCATATTGGCTAAAATTTAATACTTTTAATACTTCTATTATTAGAAGCCACATCAATGAAATGAGCAAGGAATTTCCTTTAACACCCTAGCATTCTGTCAATTTTATTTAGTGGTGAAACTCTACAAGAATCCAGCTTGTTTTATTCCACATGCACAATGGTTGGTTAGGTATGCAGTTGTCTTTTCTTTCCCTTCTTAATTTGTGCCAATTGCACAAGAGAGTATTCATGCTCTTTTTAACGGGGTGATGAACAGCTTGCATTATTACAAGTTGGAGACAGCTGGAATGGGTGCATAGTGCTTTGTCCGTCAAGCAGTTACACTGCATGGTTCTTTATGGTTTTCTGGCCACTATTCCCCAATCTTTTACGTGATGCTGTAGATCTCCTGTACAGAGAATTAGTGCAGGGAAATCGCCCTGGAGGGAGACCACAACTGTGATACAAGGACATCTGCAAGCGGGATCTGAAGGCCTTAGGAATGGACCTCAACAGATGGAAAACCTTGATATCTAAGCGTTCAGCCTGGAGGCAGGCGGTGCAACATGGCCTCTCCCAATTTGAAGAGACCCTTGTCCAGCAGGCCGAGGCAAAGAGGCAGTCCTGAAACCAGCAAAACCAGGGAAGAATGTGGCCCTTGACATTTTGCATATGTGAAATACATGTTGCCACCAGATATCATGCAGGGATGGCCATGATGGAAGAGTGTGTCCCTTGACATTTTGCATATGTGAAATACATTAAACACCACAAAATTGCTTTTGAGCACATTTTTGTACACTAATAAGAAATATTTAGAGTTTCTTAAAACTTTGTAGAATAATTCAAAGCAGATTTTTCACTAGAAATAATCCTCATATCACAGAAGCGGCCTCCTGGTCTGTTCAGCTCAATCTGAATTCGCTTCCACTCTTAATGCTTATCCCAGTCCTTTGCCAGCAGGGAGGTTCATGTTTCTTCCCTAAATGGCTCAAAGGCTTCCCTGTTGTCTGCTTTCCTCCAGTATGTTTATCTCTTGGCACTTTTGTGATCTTGCTGTTAGATTGAATCAGACAATTGTTGCTTTTCGAGCAGAGTGGTTTGATCTTGAGCAAAATGTTGGCAACGTGGCCAGGGTTGACTCTTGATGTGTGTTTTTTCCAGAAATGGCAGTCTTATTGGGGAAGAGCTTCCGTCACATTACTGACAGCAGGCTGTTGCAGCTAAGAATGGTGTCTCTTTACAACCACACCCATGGTTTTGAGGAGGACGCAGTGAAAGAGAAGCTTCAGCAGTTCCCTGGTGGATCCATTGATCTTTCTAAAGAAGATAACGGCATTGGGATTCTCACACTGAACAACCCAAAGTTCATGAATGCATTTACAGGTACAGTATTAAGAATTTAATGGATTTGCTTCCATTATGTAGGTGCAAAAGCAAAAATAAGAAATCACACCCTAACATGCAGCATTGGCAGTGAGAAAATTTAGCTTTGAAATGTAGAGGTGCTGATGTGGATATTGTGATTCATAGAAATTGTAATAACACAAAATTCATTAGGCTTAGAAAAACAATTTAATAAGACTTAGGTTGTGAATAGATGGTTGCAGAGGCACATGCCTGATTGTACTGGAAATGGTCATTTGCCAATGTTCCCTCTAAACTGCACAGCCACACAGTGCTGGATCAGTGTTTCATAGCATTGGATCAGGGCCACACAGCTGATGCAGAGTTCCTGCCCTTTTGCTTCTGGTTTCAGCTAGAAATTAGAGGGAATGTTGTCACTTACCTTTCTGTCCGCTGAGCAGTTGCTGCAGCCTCCCCAAAAGCAGAGTAGTTGCTGCAGGTCCCCAAAAGCAGAGGCCCTACAGTTGGACCAAAAAGGTCCAGCTTGGGAGTGGATTGGAGTATGATATATTTCCCCATCTGATAACACCCTCAGTCCCAGTTCTTCTTCTTCTTCTTCTTCTTCTTCTTCTTCTTCTTCTTCTTCTTCTTCTTCTTCTTCTTCTTCTTCTTCTTCTTCTTCTTCATCATCATCATCTGCTAGTTTGTTTTATGGCATAATATGTATTTATTTCTTAAGGTGTTCAAGTTTATAACCTGGGTTTTCCTTAAGGATCCAAGTGCGGACCCAGTATTGACGAAGATTTCCAGTATATAGCTACAACTGGATTCACTCAGGACTGCTTCCATAATTTTCACTGAATGCCAAAAAAACAGAAAAGTCTTGCATTGCTTCTGGAATACACAAGACTTTCTCAGAGCAGAAGTTATTATCATATAGCCGAAGCACAACCCCCCCCCATTTGCCCTCAGTTGATGCTATATATGGTAATCATCATTGCCAGTGAACACTGGGATAGAACTTGAGATATTTTAGATAAAAACTGGAGACAAGAATAATAGCTATAAAGCTATAGGCAGTAGTGAAATTTCTTTGGCATTGATAAATGAATGAATGCTGTTGACAGGGGCAAAGTTGATGGACCCCTCCAGAATCCAACATTGTGTCCATGGACTGAAATTTATACAACAGGACTGTCCCCTAACCATTGTAGCTCCATGATCACCCTGGTGTTAGAAGAGATTCTGAAGACACAGGGAAATTGCATGGGTAGAAAATTGACCCCTCCCCATTTTCTGCTGATGGAAGCAGCTCTGTAGACAGAAAGACTAAAGAGGATTGAAGTTGCTACATTTTACATTATCATAGTGTTTGTGTAGGAAACATCACAATGAAAACTGATCAGAGGCACCCAGTATTAGAATACTGTATTTTTCCGTGTATAAGAGGACCCTATGTTTAAGATGCCCCCCAATTTTGACCCTTTTAAGCCTGAGTGCCCAGATCAGTGGGCACCTTCAGGGCTGGCACATCCTCCAGAGGGTTGCCCAGGGGACGCCTTTTTCCCCTCCCCAAATATAGGCAGGGCCTTGGCCCAGGCTTCCTACACTGCACTCTGCCTCACTCACTTGATCTCCTGCAGCACCAGAGTCGCAGTTAATGGCAGCCACGATGCATGCCGAGGACGGCTCCTCCTTCACCTCCACCTGCTGCTGTTGCACTGCACTCTGCTTCACTCACTTGCTCTCCTGCAGCAGCAGAGTTGCAGTTAATGGGCAGCCGAGGATGGCCAAGTGTGGCTCCTCCTTCACCTCCACCTGCTGCTGCTGTCACCACCCAATTGCCTCCTCCAGCGCCACTCGGACAGGGGATAAGGCAGCGGCGTGAGCTTGAGCTGAGCCCCAGCAGTGGCATTGGTGGAGGCTATTGGGCAGCAGCGGCAGCAGGAGATGGATGCGAAGGAGGAGCTGTGCTCGGCCCTCCCTCGCAGCTCGCAGCTGCCCATTTACTGCAGCTGCAGCCACCCGCTTGCCTCTTCCAGCACCACTTGTGGGCTCCCTTCAGGCAGGGAACAAGGTGACGGCATGAGCTTGAGGTGAGCCCCAGCAGTGGTGCAGGAGGAGGTGATTGGGCAGCAGCGGCAGCAGGAGGCAGAGGTGAAGGAGGAGCTGTGCTTGGCCGCCACTCACAGCTGCCCGTTGACTGTGGCTGTGGTGGCCCGATCGCCACCTCCAGTGCCACTGCCGGGGCTGTGTGAAAATATGAAGAGAGTGTTGGCATTTAAAATCACAGCAGAAGATTTTCTCCTTATGAAGGTTTGGACCAGAAGCTCCAGCGTAGTGAGGCACACAGGAAGACATCAGGAATAAGTACAGAAAATATTTACTTACTGTACATATTTACATAGTGCTCACAGGAACATAAACATAGGCATTCAGCAGTCAAAGGGACAGAACATAAGCACGACAGTCAAGATACAGTAGAACTGTGAAGGGAACACTAGCCAGCCTCTTAATTTATACTACCTCCAACCAATCAAATTAGTGGTTCGCCTCATGGTAATTAATTCCTCATAGCTGTGTCCTTCTTGTCACATAAGCAGTGACTGAATAACTCCACCTGCACTAACCAATTGTTAATTACATTTCTTTTTCTTGAAGACCTAACAGAGAGTGGTCCAAAGACCAAGAATAAAACTCAGAGCTTTACAGGACTTAAAAGAAAGAGGAGACCAATCAAATTAGTGGTTCGCCTCATGGTAATTAATTCCTCATAGCTGTGTCCTTCTTGTCACATAAGCAGTGACTGAATAACTCCACCTGCACTAACCAATTGTTAATTACATTTCTTTTTCTTGAAGACCTAACAGAGAGTGGTCCAAAGACCAAGAATAAAACTCAGAGCTTTACAGGACTTAAAAGAAAGAGGAGGAATGGGCTTGCCAAATTGTCTACTATATTATAAGGCTTGTGCCTTGAACTGGATAAAGGAATGGATTACTTTGGAAGACCAAAGACTTTTAAAATTGGAAGGACATGATTTACGATTAGCATTGCATGCATATATGTGGTATGGGAAGGACAAAGACCAAACACTTTTTTCAGCACATATTGTAAGAAAAGCGCTGTATCCGGTCTGGCAAAAATTTCAGGGGTAAATGTATAAAATAATTCCGATATGGGTAGCACCTTTGGAAGCTTTTACACAACCTTTAATTTTGAAAGAATGGAGACATATGTATAAAGAGCTCTTAATTAAAGAACAATTAAAACATATACAGGAGCTGAAGGAAATGGGTCTACAGACAGACTGGTGGGCAACGTTAAAATTAGAATCAAGGTTTAAAAAAGACAAAATAATGGGTTTTTATGAGGGGAAGGTTCAGATGGATGAGTTATAGATTTATACTAGTGATAAAATTATACAAAATGTATACTTTTTGTTAGAATATAATTTAAAAGATGAAAGGGTGAAGCAGTGATGATTAAATGGGCACAACATTTTGGTTACAGTATAGATATAGATGATTGGACTTGAATGTGGAATGACAATTATAGATTGATTAAACCAGTAAACCTGAGAGAAAATGTTTTAAAGATGTTTTATAGATGGCATTTCACACCTGGCAAAAATGATGTTGGAGGTTAGCAACTTATGTTGGAAGTATTCTCAGCAACCCGGGAATTATTTTCATATGTGGTGGACATGCGATAAAGCAAAAAGATTTTGGAGACAGATAAAAGTTATTACACAAGAAATTATACAACAGAAAATAGCTTATAAACCAGAGATGTTTTTGCTGAATATAATGCCATAAATTGATGATAAAAAAATTAAATATATGTTGTCACACATATTTACAGCTGCAAGTCTGATCTGGGCCCAAAAATGGAAAAATCAGGAAAATGGGAAGATAGAGGAACTGTTTCAAAAATTATTAGATATTGCAGAAATAGATAGTTTGTCAGATGCATTACGTGAAAACCCGAGAATATATGTTAAAGAAAGCTGGAAAATGTTTTATGATTGGGCCAAGAAACAAACATGAGTAGAGAATATAATATATGTTATGGATTTTAGTACTGTAACACAGCCATGGAGTCAAGATTATATTAGATATTGTATTATTGTAAGCACTTCCCTATGTTTATGTTTTGTTTTGTCTTGTTTTTCTTTTCCTTTTCCCCCTGTACAGTGTTTGTATTCCTTTGATTGTTGTGTTTGTTTGTTATATAATAATAATTTAAAAAAATTAAAATAAAAAAGAGAGAGAGAGGTCCACCACATTTATCCCCACTAGAGAGAGCACAGTAAATGCTCAAAAGCAAGTAAATAGTAGAAAGAGTTGGCGGAATCTTATTAACTTGTGAGTCAAATGGTGTAAATCTCAGTCACAAATTGCTGCTAATGAAGGAAGGATCTATTCCTCAGTGGACACCAATCATGTGACTTGGCTGTTTTGGCTTCTGCTGACAAGATTTGTAAGTCAAAAATATCTGGTGGGGCACAGTTGTTCATGCATGCTCTATATCTTCTCCTGCTGCTTTGCTACATGTTAGTAATAAACCTATTGTTTAAAAAAAGGATTGACACCAATGACTGCCTCTTATATTCTGTTGTGTTGGGTGTGTTCCAAAGCTGCAGACTAAAGATATCCTTTGGCTGTGCTTTCTCTTTAATGGCAGGAACCATGATGGTAGAATTACAGGAAAAGGTTGCTGAATTGGAAAACTGGAAGAATGGGAAAGGACTTATTGTCCGTGGTGCAGAAAATACATTTTGCTCAGGATCTGATCTGAATGCTGTCATGGTACTGTCTCGGCCGCAGGCAAGTGTTGGTGGAAATCAATTTGCCGTGCGCCCTTTAAAGTTCTGAAGCATTTATGTCTCTAAGAAAGTTAGCTGCCAAAGGTTCAAGGCTGCCTAAGAGGGATAATAAAAAACAGAAATTATTTCATTCTGCATCGGGTTGCTGAGTATGCTATCGGTGTTCTTTAAAATCTTGTCAAGCTAGTGATGCATTTGATTCATTACCAAGATAACCCAAGTTATATAGTCTTTACTCAGCATAGTCAGTTTTATTTCAAACATTTTCTTCTGACCCTCTTACTGTTCAGAGGAATAAGACCTTATGCAGATGGAATGATAAACCTGATTGGTTTTCTAGGCTGTTAAAAGGGTCATTTTCCTTTGCCTGCAGTTCGGTAATGGGGGGTGGGATCAGAGTTGTAAGAAAGCTATTTAGACTGCAGTCCTCTGTTTACTTGCCTGAGGGTAACCCCCACTGGACTGAAATACAATTTAATTTTGCAGGTTTTTGCCAGTTTTCCTCAACACTGTTGCTTCTTAGTGAGAAAATCTCTGTGCAGCTCTCCCTTTGCCAAATCCTTTTGTTTTCATAATTGTATGGTTAATGTGGATAACAAACTCATTTCTTTGAAAAGCACTTGAAACCATGGCAACTTGGAACAGCCAGTGGCAATGAATAATCTGACCAGACCATAATGTGACATTTTTCAAGGCAGTACTGAAAAGTGCTGCTTTCATTTGTGGGGTCAGTAAATTAGGGCTGGAGATGAAGGGTGATGACTGGGTTTTATTCATTATTATAGCAAATGCCCAAGATGTCGCTCTCATAGCTAGCCACAATATGCTTCTCTCTCTGCTTTTGCATTATGTGAGAAAGAAATGTCTGACTTGGATTGCGTCATCATATGCAGTTAGTTTCACCCAAGTTCTGCTCAATAAAGATCATTTCTTGAGTGGAATCTGGCTGTGGGAAAGAATGTCTCTAAGTAACCATAAGATAATGTCTCCAAGTAACAGTAAGAGAAAGCTGGCTGGTGGACTTGGTTTTCACAACAGGCAACCAGCACCTGGTTGTTGCGGGAAATAGGATCAAGCCTTTAATCTAATCTGGCATAGCCTTTATTCTGTTTAATCTTTGGGATCATTTAACTGAAGTTAATCATCTTTGCGTTCAAGCCTTTTCAGGGAATTATGCCTTCCTTGGCTTTTAATTGATATGCTATTCATAACTGTCCACATTTCGCAGACTGTAGCTCTGGTTGCCAGGCGAATGTTAACATAAGCCCTGTAAAAACAGAGATGTGCCATGATCATTGGTGTGAATTTGTATCAAACATTTCCATTGTGAATCAGTCTTGTCTTTGTTTTTCTATTCTCCTCCATGAACAGATACATCCTTGTATTCATTGACAGTTTAGATCTTTGTTTTGCTTTCCCTAGTACACTGTTTGGGTTGCTTTAAAAATGAAATACAGTACTGACAAGGCTACTGTATGAGAAAATGCCTTTCTTCTTTGGTAGAAAAGAGGAGCAAAATTATTTAGAAATAGATGAATATAAAGAAAAACAGCAGATCAAGAAATGGAGGGGCAGCTGGCTGACTGAAATATTTACAAAATTTTGTAATATAAATCCTCCCTTTGTCTGTGAAATGAGAAATTCATGGCTCATAATTTAAAGAATGTGATGGCTCTTCTCTTTTATATATAGATCCCAAGGGCCTTCACCATGCATACTTCCCTGACTCTGTGTTATGTAGCCATGCCAAATGACAAAAATTTTGGGATTTCTTTTATGTTCTAGATCAGTTTTATTTTATTTTATTTTATTTTATTTATATCCCGCCTATCTGGTCAGGCCAGGACCACTCTAGGCGGCTAACAACATAAATAATACAATAAAATTGATATATAAAACAATTATTAAATAGTAAGACATTACACAAGGTGGGAGGAACAATAAGAGAGGAAAAAAGGTGTCAAGGGGTGTCAGGGATTATCTGATGGGAAGGCCTGCCGAAACAGCCATGTTTTTAATTGATTCTTAAAGATACCCCGCGAGGGGGCCACGCGAATCTCAGGAGGTAAGTTGTTCCAGAGGCGAGGAGCCACCGCCGAGAAGGCCCGATTTCTTGTCTTTTCCTTCCGGGCCTCCCTCGGCGTCAGGCTCCTCAGCCTCACCTCCTGGCTCGCACGAGGGACACGGGTAGATCTTGGGGGGAGTAGGCGTTCCGCCACGTATCGCAGTTCAAGGTGGGCAGGAAGAAGGTTGCTATCTCTCTTGCTTGTGTGCATCACATAAAGAGATACGTGACATTTACAGTACTGATCTTTACATATCTACACACCAGTATTCAAAGGACTAGTGGATGTTTGATTATTTTCCAGTAGAAATGGGCAGCTATGGTTGACTATCATTTTCATGACCCCTAGCCATTATAGTCTATGGTGCAACATCATAGGAGCTGCAATCTGACCAAATCTAAAGAGCTACAGTTAGTGGTCTGCTTTTGATCTACACCTTAGGTTCTGCTTGACTCCTTGCTCCCGCCTTTGTTTATTTATTCAATATGTTTGCACTCTGGAAGAATTTTTTTAGAAAAGATGTTATAAAAATAGCAATATAATTTATATAAATGAGCTTGACAAGCGAACGACAAATAAGAGACACTTTCATCTGCTTAAAAACCTTGATATTTGAAATATTGAAGGTGTGACGGTGTGTTGCTTTTTTTCTCATAGTTAGGAGCACATAGTGTAAGGACGTCATATAGAGAATGTAGCCAGTGTAAATTCAGTTGAAGTCATGAGATGTGAATTGTGAATATCACTGGTGCATTTTTCTCTTTTGGTAGTAGCATAATTCATGATCATTTCATCTGTTTTATTTCTTCACTCTAGGATGGGATGGACATGTGTATGTTCATGCAGAACACTTTAACCAGACTCATGAGGTATATTTGTGTGTGTGTGTGTGTGTGTGTGCGCGCGCGCGCGTGCACGCACGCTAAAATGCTCACGCTGAAGTTCTAATAAATTTTCAAAAGTGACATCTAATGTTTGAATTGCGCTCTTTGTTACGTCTCGCTAGTTTTAGAAAACTGAACAGTTGGTTCTTATCAACATAAGATCTGGCATTTAAGATTCTGGCATTACAGATTTTTTGAAAAATAGCAAAACCCTTGGGAGGAATAAATTCTCAGAAATTAGAAAGCATTGATGCTTTTTGAAAGACATAGAGGCTAGTCATCTTGTATAAGTTGGCAAGCAGCAGCACCACAACCTACGTTGGCACAGGGAAGGAACATGTGCAGGGGAGGAGTGTGCTGGTTTAATCTTTCATCTGTTCTCCCCTGACACAAGTAGGTTTCTTTTTCTTCAGTATTTAATATTATCTCTATAGTGACCAGAAATTCGTATTTCTCCTGTGCCTACATAACAGTAGTTGATTTCTGATCTTCAATTTTGTGAAGGTTCTTTCTTTGTAAAATGATTAATGTGAGGACTTGGAGATGAGAGAAATGATCTGTATGCTGCTGACATTTTAATCCCCTTCCTCATTATTCTAGACATTTTGCTAACAGACTGTAGACTTATGGCTTGCATGGACTTGATCACAGGCATAGAGTAATTGCTGTCCAAGGCCACAGAAGAATAATGATACAGAGAATGGCTGGCTGTGAGGTGAATGAGAAAAAAAATGTATCTTCTTCAAATTTTGCTTCAGGGAAGAAAATCTGCTGGAGTAAATCTTTTCTAAAAGCAGCATGTTGCACATGAAGAAATACTCTGGTATTGTGTTGTTCTTGGTCATAATTTAAACCTACAGAACATCTCTCTTTGATTGAAGTACCATACATTTTTGGGTAGTAGAAGTCTTCTGGTCATGTTTCTGGGCATCTTGCTCAACCAATGTGTTAGAATTGTGTAAACAGCGAGAAAAAGTGTTTGATAGTAGAGTAAGGCTGGCAAAACACCTAATGAAAGTAATTTTGTTATGAGTTTGACAGGAGAAAACATTTTTTTTTTTTAAAAAAAGAAAGCATTTACTGAAGTGTGAACAAAAATATAACTTCTGAAATCACGTTTCCCTGACATTTTATCCTTGCTGAAACCATTGGTACCTGTCTTATTAAACCAAATTGATGGCCAGAGTCATGTTGTACGGCTGTCTGTGCAATAAGAATGACATAATAATCCACAGCAGATTGCTGCTGATTAAAGACTTCAGTTTTATTTCACAGTGCTCATGGCTTGCATACAATGAGATAAAGCCACATGTACCCCAACTTTGAAAAAGTATTTTATTAGCAGCAGTCTTCTGCTGACAATGGTGTCATTCCTGTTGTGCAGCTGGAATCAAATAAGATTTCAACCACTGACCAGCTGTCTTTATAGAATTATGGATGGGATCCCGAAGGCTATGTAGCCCAACCCTGTGTCTGTGCAGGAAATTTGCTACTGTAGCATCCACGGGTGAGGTCAGGCCAAAACATTAGTTCCATTATTTTTGGTGGCCTGGACACTGTATGTCCAGCTGTGCAGCCTAGAATTACATTAGTCTCTTTAAGCTGCCACACAGCAGTGCTAATTTCTTCAGTGTGCAAACTACCAGAGGCTCCAGCTCCTTTTCATATGTACTGTTCTCAAACCAAATGCAGCAGTGCCACCCTTCTTGGATTTGTGCTTCTGATTTTGCTGATCTAAATACAGAATTTCACATATGTGTTTCTCAAAATTTGTTTGTGAAGGGAGATCAGATAATAACTGTCAGTCCTACCTAAGTCAGAAAAACATTTTATACTCTTCGGTACCATAGTGACATTTTTAGCATTTCTTTTTCCAAATCAATTATTTGCCTTGATTTTAATGTTAGAACTCCTGATTGTCTGACACTTCCAACTGTCCTGGTATTTAATATTTGAAATGTATTTTTTCCTTGCTTCTTCATTTGTTTAGGTTACCTCTAATTACAGTTGCTTTGATTCAAGGGAAAGCTCTGGGAGGAGGAGCAGAACTGACCACTGCATGTGATTTCAGGTAAGATTAAAAGTTTCACTAAATAGACTTTGCCTTAGAGTTATGCCACATTCACATGGTTCTATCTCATTGTCCCCAACAAGGTCCTGACCTCCAATGTCCATTAGATAAGTCATTCAGCCTGTCCACTGAATCCTAATATGACTTAATATGCCCCCAAACAAACCTGCTGCTGCCATCTACTGATTTACAGAGAAAGAAAAGACTCGGCTGTTTATGTAGTTTGCTGTGTGCTATAAAGCCAGCACAGAAAGGTGAGAAGTGTTAACTTTAGATTCTACTCAGACCAGAATGCATGTAGTTAAGTAAAATTTTATATATATGGACCAGAGCAGGCCAGGCCCTCCTATCTTCCACTGCCTCCCGGAGTTGTGTCAAATTCATGTTGGTAGCTTCGCAGACACTGTCCAGCTATCTCATCCTCGGTCGTCTCCTTCTCCTCTTGCCGTCGCACTTTCCTAACATCAAGGTTTTTTCCAAGGAGTCTTCTCTTCTCATGAGATGGCCAAAGTACTGGAGCCTCAGCTTCAGGATCTGTCCTTCCAGTGAGCACTCAGGGTTGATTTCCTTTAAAATTGATAGGTTTGTTCTCCTTGCAGTCCAGGGGATTCTCAAGAGCCTCCTCCAGCACCACAATTCAAAGGCATCAATTCTTTGCCGGTCTGCTTTCTTTATGATCCAGCTCTCACTTCCATACATCATGACAGGAAAAACCATAGCTTTGACTATTTGGATTTTCTTTGGCAAGGTGATGTCTCTGCTTTTTAAGATGCTGTCAAGATTTGGTACATAATAATAAATAAGGCTTGATGGCACATAACAAAACTCAGCAGTGTTTTGGCTCAGCTGTTAATGGCCTTCTCCCTGCCCTGTGCCATTGGCTTCACCCAAGTCTGCAGTGAAGGCCCAGACACTATTCCTAAACTGGCATTTGACCCCAAGACTGAGAAAGGTTCTCACCTCCACAAGGTTTCTTGCAGCAGGAGTGTGTGTGTGTGAATCTCTTTAGGGTAATAACTTGTGAGTTTAAATGTCCCATGCTATGTTATTCAGAGCTATAACCACTTTATCACAATTATACTAAGAGGTAAATATCCAGGTAAAACCTAGTCTGAAATAAATGTCAATACTGTACAGTATACATATATAAACACTGAAATCCCAAATATATTTGCCCTGTTAAGAGCCAAGCCCCTTCCATACTCTCACACTGTTTTCTAAAGGTCTTCAAGCTTTTCCAGAGATTTTCACAGATATGGGAGAGCCATTCAGAGTACCTTGCTATGTGATACCAACTGCAATTATTAACACAGTTATTAGAGTTTTAAGGATTGTGGTGGGGTGTATATATAATGGATAGGCTTAAGTGATTGGCCAATCAAATTATTTTAAATGGATTCTCATTAGTGGATTTATAGATTATCTATGACAGCATTCCAAAGACTACAAATATTATGCTGCTCCATGGAATGCCATGTGGTTGTACATTATCATCTTTGGTACCATCATCTATTGTGTTGTGTTGTGTTGTGTTGTGTTGGATGGATGGATGGATGGATGGATGGATGGATGGATGGATGGATGGATGGATGGATGGATGGATGGATGGCTTTCTATCCCGCCCATCTAGACCAAAGGTATACTGTGGGTGGTTTACAAATTTAAAAACAATAAAACCCATAAGCATATATTATAAATCCAAGGTGGCGAGAGTATAAGATACGGCGGGAGGGAAAGCTTATATACCATTGACCAAAGCCTAGAGCACAAGACGTAAATGTCAGGTCCTTGAATACTGGAATCTGTGTCATTAGATGAATGATGTAGAATAATTTGGCACAAAGCTCTAAGCAGGCTATTTGGTTTTGAATAAGATGATGTCAGAATAGCCCAGGGCAGAAACAGTTTTTACACTTCCAAAGAAACATTTTAAAATTGTATTGTTTTAGCTATGCCAGTGGTTCCCAACCTTGAGTTCCCAGATGTTCTTGGACTACAACTCCCAGAAATTCTAGCCAGGTAACCCCCACTGAGCTTGAGTCCAGCAACAACTGGGGACCCAAGGCTGGGAACCATTGAGCAGTTTGGATAATATTGTATAATATTGAGTCCATCACATGCAATGGAAAGCTTTAGTTTGATCATTAAAAATTAAATGCCATCAAGTCGACTCTGAGGGCAACCCTTTCCAGAGTTTTCTAAGTACAGAGTACTCAGAAGTGGTTTACCATTTCCTTCTTCTTGGAGCATCCTGGGACTGTGCAGCTTGTCTGAGGCCACACAGGCTGACTCTTCTCCTGCAGTGGAGAACTAAACTCTTGAACTCTGGCTCCAACCAGGTACTCCATCTCATTAAGCTATCTAGCCAATTTCTGATATCTCATGTTTAATTCTTCTCCTGACTGTAGGTTTTGCTTTGGTTTCAATTATTTTGAAATTATACAGAATGCTATTAGAAATAATGTTAAAACAGAGAGAGCAGGGCTGTAGCATAAGCCTGAACATTATATTCCTGAATAGAGTTGCCTCTTTCAAGAATACAGGAGAAACAGTGCTGAATCAGACCAAATGTCTGTCTTGTTCAGCATTCTCTTCACCTATGAACTGCTGAATAGTTCAGTGGTTTATCTGGCTGCAGAGCCAGAGGTTGGGAGTTTGATTCCCCACTGTGCCTCTTTGACAGGGGCTGGACTTGATGATCCATAGGGTCCTTTCCAGCTCTGCAGTCCTATGATGATAATGATGAAGAGGAGGATGAGGCCTGGAAGTGGTGCATGAGTTCCCTCTTGCTTGTCTTCCCCAGAATTGGCATTCTGAAGAATACTGCATGTGAGAATAGGGTAATACAGATAGCCTTTATTGTGACCAGCAGCCATTGATAGGCTCCTCATTCTTGCAAACTTGTCTTTCTGTCACTGTTCTGGCAATTTCAGCATATTACGAAAGCATTTTGTGAGACTAGGGGCAGATTCTTCCCCACCATTAGGTTGTCCAAGCCCACAATTCCTCTGGGCAATTTGTTCTGTTTCTTGTACAGGGGCATATGCATATGTTTATCTGTACAAGTTATAAAAATACTGCTCTATTTACCATTAATTTCATGCACTATTCCAGTTAGGTTTCCTGAACAAAGCTTGCTGTTTACTTTTTTAGACTATAATTCAAGAGTTATTCTAGCATTCTGGTTTCATTGGCAGGTCCATTCACCAAATGACAGTTTGGCCTTTGAATTCAGTCATTAGCCAAATAGCCAAATCCAAAACCTAACTGCTAAAATAGAAATCCAGTTGCATTTTACTAACATGCAGCCAGCTAAGGAATCCTGGGTTGTAGTACAAAGAAGTAATTTCCACTGTCCTTGAGTATGGATTGTCTATCTGTGAAAAAGGAAGATGGTAAGTACTGATTCTAGGTAGCTGGGGCTGAGTCACGATGTGCAGCAAAACTTGGGACATCTTTAATGTAAATTCATGCTCAATAACACAAGGAATAGTGAGCTTCAGATAGCACTGAAATAGCAAAGGGGGTGTTGCTGAGTGCACAACTGCGAGCGTGTGACAGTTAGTGGGGGGGCAAGCCATGATGGAAGTCTTTAGATTGAAAACATCACTCCAGTTGTGCCTTTTCTGGTAGGTGTTCATTAGAGCTGAGGTGGTAGTTGGGATGGTTTCAGTTCCTGGCATCTTCAGAGGACAGGAGTCAGATCTCTGTCTCAGACAGCCACAGAGACTGGCGAAATGTTAGGAAGAAAACCCCCAAGAACACGGCCAGACAGCCTGAAAAACCTACAACCATCAGACTTTTGTGTATTTCCTCATTTTTCCAGGGGAGAAGTATCAACAACTGTTCAAACTACAAGCATTCCAGGCCTTTTTAATCTCGAACTCATTGCATTAAAGAACACTAAAGTGTTATCTTGTAATGCTTATTGCATTTTTTTCTTAAATCAAGAGCCACATTCAGGTTAACAGGATGTTTTTTATTTGAAATGAAATCACCTTCATTCACAGTAATCCTTAATGAGGCAGAATAGTGGCCTAAATTTCATGCAGCATATTCGCATATTCATGAGTTGTTCTTAAGAAATACAAGCTGACTAAACACGGCTAGGAGCTTGGCAGGGGCACGTTTGTGTGAGCCAGCGCTATCCCAAGAGCTACAGCGTAGGCTACAGAAACAGAGGGATTACTCTCTGCCTGAAGGTTGGTGGGCTTTGTTTTTTCAGTCTCTTGTTTGGTCAGTTGGTTCGTCCTACCCCAAATGTGAGTCACCCGAAGAAGAGCAGAATGTCATTTTGGAATACTTGTATTTGAAAAACATTTTTGGAACTGGTGGAAATGTAAGAATAAAGTGTTTAATACTCAGATCATGACTTCGTTTTAAAACTCTAAAAGAGTGGCAGGGTTTTCTCCCACTCCAGAATTCATGATAGACTATCCTCCAAAATCACATAATTGGGTAATCAGCTGGGTAATCACAAGCAACCTATGATTGACATTTGTGGTATTGTGCCCTCCCTTTCAATCCACAGGTTATTCTTTTTGCTGTTTGGCTAGTTGTTGGAAAGGGCCTTTTTTGGTACAGTTGCTTTCACTGCGATAGATCCAGATTGCCAATGGACAAAATGCACCCATGGGACTGCCCTCCCCTAGGGAATGGTGGGGAAAACAGTGTTCATTAACTCCTCTTGCAGCTGTTTATGCCTCCTGAAAAGCTGCTCTGAGTCTAGAGGGTCAGGGGAATAGTGTGGCAGGTGCTGTTCAGTGCTATGGGGAGTTAAAATGCGGGCAGAGGGAGAATCAGCTTCTTCCCTTTTGCCTATTAGCAACCTCTACTGTATCTCAGTGTTTTCTACAAAAGTTTGTTTGTGGAAGGGCATGCACTGAACTAAGTCATTATGTGTAACTTAGCTGCATGCAGGTCAGGTTCCACCAGGCTTCAAATGAAGCAAAGAAAAGTTATGATTTTTCCTGGAGCAGTGTTCCATTGTTTGGAATTAA